CCCCCCCCCCCCCCAAAAAAAGGGACTACATAGGTGCCTTTGGGTCAGCTTAGTTGCAGAGTTCCCTGACTCAAGAAGCCTTGGCCTCTTATTTACAATGTTGTGTAAGCTTATAGGATCTAGGGTTTAAAGTATCAGTTTGTAAAGATACTCACTTACCAAGTAACGGTTATGGAGGTTTGAAGGTTCGGTCCCAGACTGCGGGGCGTAACCTATGACAGTTCTTTCAATATGGACTCACGTGCTGCTTTCAGAATTTTGGGGGGCCTCGGGTCAGGTATGAGGGATCCATCTCGTGTTTCTGATACCTGGATAGGTTATGGAAGGGATTGGCGCTGGTTTAGGGTTTAGGGTNNGTTTAGGGTTTAATTAGGATTCAGGGGATGAAGAGCCTCTGAACTGGAGGGAAAAAGAGCAACTTCGTTACGTAGATTAAATGACACTTGATGTATATGTGGAATAGTTGCAGCTTACCTGGACTCCCCAAGTAAGAAAACACTGGCCCCGGGAGTTACTCCACGTCCCCCAAACCCTAAAAACAGTCCCAGAGGCAGTTGTTCTGCATACTTGGGGGGGGGGCCAGGTCAGAAGTAAGCCTGCTTTTAGGAGGGACTGAAAGCTCTTGGAAATGGCAGCAACTGGAGTATTTCCTTCCTACCTAGAACTGGAATGATGATAAGGCTTTTGGAAACCTATGATATAACAGTGTAAAGATTTGGGAGCTGGGGTAGCCCCACCCTTTACATCGGCAAACCTCAACAAGCCGCAAATCATGATTCCAAACTCTCCCCTCAAACCCCATAAACATAGACCCGCACTTGAAGCAATATTTCAGGGTTTAGGGTGTTGGGGTGCAAGGAACACTTGCGCCTGGACTTTGTGTGCTTGCACCTGGCAAGCAGTCCGCGGTGAATTCCAAGGTTGTGCAAGGGGTGTAGGGTTCAGGGTTTAGGTAAGTGGGGTTTGTAGGATTTAGTGGCAAAGGCTTGAGACATAGGGCCAGTTCAGCCTAGCCAATATGGTTGAGGATTTAGGAATCGTAGCTCTTACAAAAGGGAATCTTTCAGGTTCTGAACCATTGAGCTTGAACACCTAGCCCCTAAGCCCTCAACCGTGAACACTGAAGCCGAACCCCCCAAACCTTGTACCTTGAAGCCTAAGCCTTTGATGTTCCAAGCCCCCTAACAGCTCTTCGTGCTCGTGGGGCCCTGGCTGCTTATGCCTCTACATACATTTTCCCTTAAAAGTACGTAGAATAATGGCATGTTTTTGGCTATCTTTAGGGGTTTCGGGCTATTAGCTTACTAATCCTGATCTCACTCTCCCACATCCAACCCGCAAGCTGATCAACCCGGAGCCTGATTGGGGGTTGCAGCAACCAGCGCGACTACCCTGCGGGGAGTGGAGATCTGATTTGGGTTTTGGGTGTGGGGTATCAAGGAACCAATCGGATGTCAAAACCCATGAAAAACCACTAAGGAAAAAAAGGCCCGCGGTCCCCTCATGATCCCTTCATGTCATCAGGCTCTTATCCTTGAATCCCCAAGCCCTAAACTCCAAACCCTAAACCCCAAACCCTATAAATCCCAAACCCTAAACCCCAAACCCTACATCGAAACCCCCCCCCAAAAAAACCCAGACCCTGAACCCCAAACCCTAAAACCCCTAACCCTTACCTAGGCCTGGGTCGGAGGCTTAGCGTTTAAAGCGACATCCCCCGAAAAGCATGTCAGACGCATAGTTGGCGGCCTGGGGTTCCACCCACCCAGTGATTGGGTACTTGGGGCTGCGGTACTAGTACCGGTGGTACAGCTTTGGGGTAAACCTCTAACCCAGACCCTAAACTGGGATAAGTTTCCGGGTTGTTCTGAAAATTTCTGGGTCCATTTGGGTTCTGAATTATAGTATGGTACCTAACATCTAGGGGTACCCACATGCGACCCCAATTTTGGGAACTACCCATACGATTATTTGGTACTTGGCCCCTTAGGGATGAACCAGGAACTTGTAACCAGGGTTTAGGGTTTAGGGTTTGCAATAAGCCTATGAGGCTTGGACTTCGAAAGCTACGATCCGCATGTTGTAGGGTTTAGGGTTTGTAGGGGTTAGGGTCAGGTGGGCTTACAGAAATATTGCACTTGCATGAAACCTCGCAGAATCTGGTTGCAAATAATTCGCCCTGAACGCTAGATTCTATACCCTTTAGACTTCAAAATCCTGGATCCTAAGCCCCCTTGGACCCCCCCACCCCCCCAAACCCTAAACCCTCAACCCAAACCCAAAACCCCTTAACCCCTTTTTCTGGCATCCTGAAGCATACCTCGGTCTGGGTGCTTGTCCGACCACAAGTTGCATCAGGACGCTGGGTGAGATTCCGCAGCATAGTGTAGCTATATGGCGTTAGGGGTGCCGTTGTGTGAGTCCCCATAATCAGGATCATAATATTTGGGGTCTATCCGGCTGTTACACTGCTCAAACCGGGATTAAGGACTTTACGCGGTATATCCCCCCGTGGTGCCGATGTTGTCCAGTTCCAGGTGGTAGGTCGCGACGATTTTCTCGGCCGAAGCATCAATGTCAGCAATCGTCGTGTGGCAGTTCAGAACCTAGGTTCCCCAGTAACCAATTAAAAACAAGGGTACCCTTTTTCCTACTATTCAGCTTTGACAAGGAGACCCCAAACTAAAAAAGGGGAAAAGGGTATAACTGGGATACCTAGATATTCAAACCCTATATAATCCCTTTATATAACCCATTATAGTAGTCTC